TTTGTGCAGTTGTGGCAGGGCCACATAGTTAACTTGCATTAGCTTTTGGTTTTCAACATAGGAGTCCCTCCCCCTGACTTGCATACACTTAGTTTGTGTTGTAGCCCTCTTAAGTTAATTAAGTAGAAGTTTATGACACAGTAAAATAATAGCAGTGCTGTAGGAGGATAGTAGTGTACGCCCCCTGGATAGAGTAAACATCCTGTCCAGAACAGAGACCCCCTTATCTGTGAGACCATGTGGTCCATGCCTCATTTTGCAGACTGGTAGAAGGCAGGGCAGCATCATTTAGTTTTGCTCTGCAGATTCCCTTGAAAATCTATGGCTTTTCTACCCTGAAAGTTTGGTCTGCTGCTGGATTCGGTAAGCTCAAGTTTTGTTGTTTTGTTAACTAAGAAGTGAAAGTACATTTAATAGATAAATATTTAGTGATCCAATTGGTACTTTTGTTCTTGTGGCCTGAGATTGAAATTTCCTCGTTCTTTTCTTGTTATACGGAGTGTGAAGTTCAAGTACACTTGGAGTTTAAGATTGATTCACAAGAGAGTTACTTTTGCGCGATGTATTTTTGTGCATTATACTACATGTATGTCGTATCCGATGGTTAGTCCCATGGTTTACAACTTTACTTTTTCGTTGTATGAGAACTTGAGAAGAAAACAAGTGATCTTTTAAGTTTTGCACAGGTGTATTTCATCTTTTACATAGCTGGATTTTTTATTTAACCAATAGTGTTAGAATTTAGATAGTTGGAAGTAAATCCTTCACTTGTCATTTATTCTGTATAATGAGTCCCTACTTGTGCACATGTATGATGCATTTCTTTACTTTACTGAAGGGACATTGCCAGCCACAGTGTCTTATTTTTATCAGGTTGACCACCAGTTAAGATAACAGGGCCTTAGACTTTGCCTAGTCCACTGAGCAGTTGGTTGATGAAATGCTTTGTATGTTTTGTGGTAATAATTAAGGCATAGTGGTTCCCCAGTGTACGTATGCAAGAAGTGCTAAGTGACTTGTAAACTCTCTAGCTGACAGCCTGGGTGGCTGGATTTGGCCACAGAGCCTAGTAGATGACCTTGGAGATAAGCACATGGACAAGGCAAGACTCATTAGTATGCACAAGAAAGTTAGTGTTGTTACCTGGAGCACACATAACTATGCTTGTGGCAACTCAGCACTGTTGATTGTTTATGCAGTGGCCAGAAGTTCTTAATCGCATTGATAAGGATGAGTGTGTGGTATTGCCAGAATAGAGCACCTGTTTTAGGTTGGCCTAGTTATTATTAGGATTTATAATGTACTCATTTAGTTCTATACTTACTTTGCGTTTTTTATTTATTTCTACAGGTTGTTTAAGCTGTTGTTTTCGATTTATGACCTTCTTTTGATGCTGTATTGGTTTTAATTTTAGTTGGTTTTAAATCTTAGGTTTTTATTGTTGGTTTTAATTTTAAATCTTCGTTCTAGGTTTTAGTTGTTGGTTTCTTTATTTTTTATCTGGTTTATGGTTTTTGGTTGGTTTATGGCTTGAAGTGATTGAGTTGTTTTTTTTGTCTATTGGTTCGTGTCATTTTAGATTTTTTTAGTCTATTTTTGCTTCATTTATTTAGTTTCAGTTGTGATCATTATACTGAGTTTTTTGGTTCATAGCAGTTTTTTATCTTTAGGGAAAGTCAAAGGTCATTTACATTTGTTTGGTTAGGAGAACATCAAGGTTGGTCGAGTGTCAGGTACAAAATCAGTTGTTCTTCGAGTCTCATAATTTTATTTTTGGTTTAGTTTTTTTTTTTTATTGTCGTTCAGGAGAATAAATAAATGCGTTCCAGTGATAGCTCTTGAATCTCTGTCTCTTTGCCAACTTAATTTTCCTCGCGATTTTCTAGAGATCCTAGGTCCAATCCTTTGTTCCATTTTTCTGGGTTACATTTTTTTCTTTTAGGTGGAGAATCCGGGTACTAGTGCACTGTTTTTTTTATATAACTTAGCCAGGAATTTTTAAGGTAGGACATAGAGACAGGTCATAGTTAGGGAAAACCAATACAGTGTCGAGAGTTGGGAGTATATTGATTGCAATGACGCAGACGCCGAACCAGCACCGAACAGCTCACCTGATATCGGATACCCCTCCGCAACTGACGCCCCAGACAACATACGCAGTTACTCCTGGGCTTGGTCAATCACCGAACATGGAAGGAGCACACCGTCAGTACCCACATTTGGTTCCTCCATCAGAAGGAGTGTCCCCTCTACGTCTTGCTGGTCTAGATCCACTCCACACCGCGGCAGAGCAGAGAGGACAGGGAGCTCCAAGGATGTTGACCACGCATCAGGTCAAGAGCGTGCCAACATTTAGCGGGAAGGAGCGACACGGCCCCCGACTGGAGGACTGGATCCGGGATATGCGGTTCCTCCTTGGATGCAAGGGAACAGCCCCAGGGATCCTCCAGTTTCATGAGGCTGTCAGACACACAGGAGGAAAAGCGAGAGATGTGCTGCTGAACCTTGAGAGTAGGACACCAGAGGGTCTAGACGCGGAGAAAGCCTTCGTCGAGCTGCTGGAAGAATACGGGGAAGACAAAAGTGCCCTGTCTCCCGTGGCCAAATTTTACGCCAGGGTGCAGCGGGGAAACGAAACCCCAATGGAGTTCGCCATTGGATTGGAATCGACCTTGAGGGAGGTTGAAGAGACGAGGCGGCGCCGGGGACAGAAGTCCGAGGAAGAGAGCCGAGACAAGATGTTGGCAACCCAGTTCATGGTGGGTTTGAAGAACCTACACTACAAGCAGAGATTGGCGCCGATGCAACCGAGGTTTATGGCCTTCCGGGACGTGCGCCGGGAACTTCACATTATTGAAGAAGAGGAGAGGCAGGCAGCAGACCTCAGACGACAGCAGACGTCCTTCTCAATGAGCGAGGTGGCTCAAAGCCTGCCCCAAGTTAAGGCCCTGGGTAAAGACGTAAAGGGGCCAGCCCAACCCGTGAAGGAGGTTGTCCCGGTCCCACTCGGGCCAAACGACCCCAACACTCCGATAATCCAGCAACTCATGACGCAACAACTGGAGGAGATGAAGGGGATGCATCGTGGTCAGATGGAGGCCTTAGACAGAGTTCTCCAGGAGCAACGCCAACATGGTCAACGCCTTGCACGACTAGAGGGTGCTGTTTTCCAACATCAGCCCACCCGTCAGCCCCAATCGGGCAAACCCCCATATACTGGATGTTTCAACTGTGGAGATCGCCGACATCTAGCAAGAAATTGCCCCAGCTTAACCACAGTGAGCAACCACAGCAGCAGCAGGCCCCCACCACTCAGCCTATGTTAAACGGACAAAACCTGCGGATGTAGGGCAGTCGGCGGGTTTAACAGGGAAGAGCCCACTTAACACTAATACATATACATCCATCAATAGCCATGTGAAAGAGGACCGAACGAGTGGTGTGGAGAGGACAGCTGAGATACCAGAAGCTGGGCCTGTCAACAGAACAGAGATTGGGTTCTCTGGAATTCATTGTTTCGCATTAATAGATACAGGTTCGCAAGTAACCACGGTGACCAATGAATTCATCCAGAGATATCCTGAGCTCAGACTCCAACCACTCCGTACCTCCGACGTGTCCATTTTAGGAGCCGGAGGACAAGTTGTCCAACACCTAGGAGTCATAACGGTCGATGTACATGTTATGGGTCAACATATCCGAGGGGTTCCGGCCTTTGTTGTTCCGGCAACTTCGTTCCGCCTTGACACCCCTGTACTCATTGGCACCAATGTCATACGTGCCAGTCGGGACAGGATGAAGGGCTCTCATGGGTCGAAGTTCATGGAGAAAACGCAACGGTTGTCCCCCAAGTGGTTCCAGGCTTTCCAGGTTGTCAATGAAGATGGGGCAGACCTTGCTAAGGAGAATGGAGACATTGGCATTTGTAGATATGCAGGCAGACATGCGCTGGACTTGTCACCTGGAGAGAAAGTTGCTGTTCAGGCATGGCTACCAAAGTCTGTGCGCAAAAGAAGTATCACTGCCATGTTGGACAACAGCCTCACTAAGGAGCTGGCAGTAGGCCGCACACTGGTTCAGGTGCAGGGCTCCAGGGTGTCAGTCCAACTCTGCAATTTGTCTGATCACCGGATGACTCTCCGGAGAAACTCAAAGGTAGCGACCCTCTCCTGCTTCAAGTTGGTCAGTCCAGCGGCAGTGCAAAATGAGAAAGAGACAGTCATCATGGAACAAGTTGCTGTCGACACCAGTCCAGTGCCAGAGGTTGATCTGCAGGGTGCTGACTTGACCCCATCTCAGAAGAAGGCTGTCGACGTGCTTCTATCTCAGAATGCAGATGTGTTCTCCAAGGGGCACTTAGATGTGGGTTCGACTACCACAGTGGAACATGAAATACCACTGAGTGACCCAACTCCATTCAGGCTCCCCTACCGGAGAATTCCCCCAGCCCAGTACCAAGCGGTAAGAAGCCACATCGAAGAGCTTAAGGAGGCGGGAATAGTTCGACATAGCCAGAGCCCTTTTGCGTCCCCCATAGTTGTGGTAGAGAAGAAGGATGGAACGATTCGCCTGTGTGTCGATTATCGGAAGCTGAATTCCAGAACCACCAGGGATGCATTCCCACTCCCAAGGATTGACGAGGCCCTTGATGCCCTTGGGAAGGCAAGGTACTTTTCATGCCTAGACCTCACGTCCGGCTACCACCAGGTGAAAATGGCACCAAAGGATCAGCAGAAGACAGCTTTCACGTCTCCCATGGGGTTGTATGAGTATACCCGCATGCCCTTTGGCCTTGTTAATGCTCCAGCTACGTTCCAAAGGTTAATGTCCACTGTATTTGGTGACATGACTTTCGAGAGTCTCCTCATATACCTTGATGATATAGTGGTTTTCAGCAGCACCATAGAGGAACACATGGAACGTCTAGGCAAGGTCTTTGCTCGGCTGAGAGAACATGGACTAAAGTTGAAACCCTCTAAGTGCCAACTGTTCAGGACCGAGGTTCGATACTTAGGCCATATAGTGTCTGCCAAGGGGATTGCCACGGATCCTGAAAAGGTCTCCATCATGAAGAGTTGGCCTGTACCCACGTGTAGGAGAGGTGTGAGGAGCTTCTTGGGGATGACTGGCTATTATCGGAAGTTCATCCAACACTATGCCAATATAGCGGCTCCTCTCTTCGCCTTAACTGGGGGAAAACGAGGTGGCAAGGAGCCAACTTTTGTCTGGACCACTGAGTGTCAAGAGGCCTTCACCACACTGATGTCTAAGCTGATCTCTGCACCCATCTTGGCGTACGCTGACTACAGCCTCCCATTTACAGTGCAGACTGATGCCTCCAGAGACGGTCTAGGAGCAGTTCTGACGCAGACACAAGAAGGCAAGGAGCGAGTGCTTGCATATGCTAGCCGCTCTCTGTCCACCGCCGAAAGGAAGTATCCAGCACACAAGATGGAGTTCAAGGCACTTCACTGGGCGGTGACAGATAAGTTCAAGGACTATCTGTATGGTAACGAGGTGACTGCTATGACGGACAACAATCCGCTCACGTATGTGTTGAAGAAGGCCAAGTTAGATGCCCATAGTCATCGTTGGGTTAGTGACCTCGCCCAGTACAACCTCAGCATTGTGTATAGACCAGGCAAACTGAATGCAAATGCCGATGCATTGTCCAGAATCCCCAGGAATGATGTACAACAGATCCTGAATGCAGTTGATGAGGTAGACAAGGAGACTACTCAACATCCAATAGCAGCTCAGCAGATGGTTCCTCAGGAAGGAGACCCGAGCACTTCAATGGCGGAGCGTACGTACTCTGAAGAATGCGCTTCCTCTGGGTCATGTGACGTGTCTGAAGGGCCTGAGGCCAGGGAGCATGCAACAGTGGGAACTGTACTTGAACAGATACCAGGTGTAGCAATGACACAGCAGGACTTGGACATCAGTCGTGTGACAACTCTTAAGTTGACACGAAAGTCTAGGCCAAGTAAGAGGCAGATGAAGGCTGAAGCTCCTGCAGTCCGCAGATTGTTGAGGTCATGGGATAACCTTCACGTGAAAGACGGTGCACTGTTCTACGTCCATATCACAGAGGATAGAGACAACTATCTGCCCATCCCCTCGAAGTCACTGCGACCCCAGGTCCTGAAACATCTCCATGACAAGATCGGACATCTTGGATTCGAGAAGACAGTCCAGCTAGTACGAGACCGTTACTTCTGGCCCGGCTTATATTCTGAGACGAAGGCATATGTCGGGAAGTGCAAGCGATGTGCCCTAAGGAAACTACCGGACACTCGGCGACAAGCACCCCTTCAGAGCATCCAGACAACCCGACCATTAGAGTTGGTCTGTATAGACTTCTTGTCACTGGAGAGGTCGAAAGGTGGCTTTGAACACATCCTGGTAGTGACAGACCACTACACCCGGTATGCACAGGCGTACGCGACGAGAGATGAGACTGCAAATACAGTGGCACGAGTCTTATGGGAGAAGTATATCAAGAACTACGGCATCCCTGAACGTATTCACTCTGATCAGGGGAGATGTTTCGAATCAGCTATAGTGAAGGAGCTGTGTAATCTCCTCGGTACTGTGAAAAGTAAAACGTCTCCCTACCACCCCCAAGGCAACGGGATGACGGAACGTTTCAACCGGACGCTATTGTCTATGATGGGAACCCTTGAACCTGACCAGAAGCCTAACTGGGCGATGCACTTGCAGTCGATGACTTATGCCTACAATAGTACGAGACATGAGACAACAGGCTATAGTCCATTCTATCTGATGTTCTTGAGGGAACCTAGGCTACCCGTGGACCTTGTAACTCCAGGGGAGCAAGAGTCAGAGGAGAGCCGTCCCCAGTCCCTGTACGTCCAGCAGATGCAGAAACACCTCCGGAATGCCAGCGAAAAGGTGAAGCTCGCAACCACAAAGGCACAGCACAAGCAAAAGTTGAACTATGACAAAAAGATTCGTGGAACCGAGAGAGAACTTCAGCCAGGAGATCGAGTCCTTGTCGCCAACAAAACACCAAGAGGCAGAGGTAAGCTGAGAGACAAATGGGAGGAAATACCTTACATCGTCCTTAGGCAACTGGGAGACTTGCCAGTGTATACCATTCAGCAACGTGGATCTACGAAGACGAGAAATCTACATCGAGACCTACTGGCCATTTGTCCTTTCGAGGTAGAGGATGAAACAGATGAGGGTCTACTTCCACCACTTCCGCAGTCCCAAGATGTGGACGGACCTCAGGTTTATCTACTTCAACCCCCTCCACAGTTCCAGGATGAAGATTATCCTCCGCATCTCCATCTACCCCCACCCCTACATCAGTTGCAGGATGAAGAACCAGAGTCATCCTATGGTAGCAGTACAGCTGATGAGTCTGAAGTGTCCACTGATAGCTCCGCTAGTTCTGACAGTGTATTGGAGGTGAGGACCAGCCGACGACCAAAGAGAAGCATCCGTCCGCCTCGCAGGTTTGGAGACTGGCAGTGAATAGTTAATGAATTATGCCCATAGTGGTCACAATTTTCGAGGATTCTAGTAATAAGTCTTGACACTCTCCTTGCGCCATTGCTAAGGATAGCAATGTATTTTAGTTGGCGAGTGTGTGGCAGGGCCACATAGTTAACTTGCATTAGCTTTTGGTTTTCAACATAGGAGTCCCTCCCCCTGACTTGCATACACTTAGTTTGTGTTGTAGCCCTCTTAAGTTAATTAAGTAGAAGTTTATGACACAGTAAAATAATAGCAGTGCTGTAGGAGGATAGTAGTGTACGCCCCCTGGATAGAGTAAACATCCTGTCCAGAACAGAGACCCCCTTATCTGTGAGACCATGTGGTCTATGCCTCATTTTGCAGACTGGTAGAAGGCAGGGCAGCATCATTTAGTTTTGCTCTGCAGATTCCCTTGAAAATCTATGGCTTTTCTACCCTGAAAGTTTGGTCTGCTGCTGGATTCGGTAAGCTCAAGTTTTTGTTGTTTTGTTAACTAAGAAGTGAAAGTACATTTAATAGATAAATATTTAGTGATCCGATTGGTACTTTTGTTCTTGTGGCCTGAGATTGAAATTTCCTCGTTCTTTTCTTGTTATACGGAGTGTGAAGTTCAAGTACACTTGGAGTTTAAGATTGATTCACAAGAGAGTTACTTTTGCGCGATGTATTTTTGTGCATTATACTACATGTATGTCGTATCCGATGGTTAGTCCCATGGTTTACAACTTTACTTTTTCGTCGTATGAGAACTTGAGAAGAAAACAAGTGATCTTTTAAGTTTTGTACAGGTGTATTTCATCTTTTACATAGCTGGATTTTT